TTTTTTCAAATTTTTAACCACACATTCATTGGATAATCAATTTTTATTCACATTTAACTATATATTTAATGGGATCCACCAACTTAAAATATTAAAATTAAGTTATCAATGGTACATCCCCCTTCTCTTAAAAGAGAGAACATGCCATTTACTATTCATTCAGGACGTATTTTCGTTAGTCAAAATTGCCCCATATCCATCCTCTACTATTTACACCAATTGCCCCCATCTATCTTCCACTATTCACATCTGGGTTAAGTGTAATTTTTATGCCTACAATTGTTGACTTTAATCCCTCCTTCTCTTAAAAAGAGGAAACTTGAAATTCACTGTTCCTTTTTTTTGTTACATGAGTTTTCACATTATAATTGATTTTTCTATGGTAGAACTGGCTTATCTACAGTCCAACCGACTATAAAATATCATGTTTCTTCCATGCTAAGGTATTACAGTGATTATCAACCGACTATAAAATATCCTGTGTGTTCCATGCATATATAAGGTATTGCAATCTTTCTTATAACTCTCTCACAAATCGCGACAATCAATTTCACGTTCCTCTATATTTTGTCGTCTCTGGTTGACTGTAATATTGGTGCCAAATCAAAAAAACGATTTTGCTTTCATCTAAATCACACCATATTACATTTTAAAGAGACTATGAAGTCAGTCAAAAGATGCAGCTTGATGGAAAGAAGCTATAGATGATGAAATGCAATTAATTTTTGATTAACAAAAAATGGAAATTGGTTGATCTTCCAACAGGCTCCAAACTCATTGGGTCTAACTGGATCTTCAACAAAATGATAAAAGTAGGTGGTACCGTAGATAAAATCAAAGCAAGATTAATAGCTAAATGTTTTACTCAAAAAGAAGGACTAGACCTTTTCGATACCTATGAAATCGGTTGCTAAGACCGGTACTACACAAAATTTAACTTCTCTAGTTTCCATATACAGGCTTGAGAATCCATCAAATGGATGTTAAAATGACTTTGTTTAATGGAGAATTAAATAAGGAAATATATATGAAGAAGCCAATCAAGACAAAAATGTTTGTAAGTTTGATGAAGTTCTCGTATGAGCTTAAACAAATTCCGAGAAATGGCACGAAAAGTTTGATGAAGTCATTATTTGTCTATATTGGATATATTGTTTTGTGAAATCCTGTAAGCATATATGATCATCGTGAAATAAATTGGATTTTTTTAGTCCACAAGTACACACGTCACATTCAATTAATAAATTGGACTTTTTGAGTCCAACTTATCGATCCCTCGAGAAATGTTTACTTTCGATTACACAACGTTAATCAATTTAATTTTAACAATACAAACAAGCACACAATAAGAATTGAATTTTAAAAATAAGTAAAAGGACTAAAACTCTACAACATATGAAAACATAAACATTTGGAAATTTTAGAGGAAAAGGAGGTTGGGATTCATGATTTTGCTTAACCGTCGCCTAATTAATTTCCCACGTGCAAATTAATGAATTACTTATTAACGATGTTAGATCCAATTTTTCAATGTTAGCTAATTACATCGTTCAAGTGAGATTAACTATAATTGATTGGTTTAGCTTACTATATCTCTATGTCGATTAAAACCAAACAACCTATTCAATTTTTGTGAAAATGGCTCAATGAATCACTTAAAATCAGGAGTATATCTCTATCGCCTATACAAAACTAAGACATTTTCTCCGTGCTCTAAAATGTACAAGAATAGTCCCACAAATCATTTGACAC